AAATACTAAATTCGTTTGACATTTTTCTGTTAACACAGTAGGAAAAGTGTCGCAGAGAAAAATAAATAAATACGATATCTTTAATTTAAAATTATAGGCTAAGCAAAATATAAACAAAACCGAGTTGACCGTCCTTCAAGGACAGCGCATCCACACTTTGCTCCATCCTTATTCTGCTTTGTCACTCATCGACAACCTGCCTGTTCTGTCTGAGGGCCGTATATTTACCACAGGTACAGCCTGCTCTGAGCATCGTTATACACATGCTGCGCACAGACCACGCAAATAAAACGCGTGACGTTAAAGCATGCGTGCAGCGTGTGCATAACAGTCCTGAGCGCAAGCTGTACCCTACTGGTGGTGGTCAGTAAGAATAAAGCGCAGATATGCTATTCTAAATGGACATCGAGAAAGGGATATTATATTGTTAGACCGCCCGCTCCCGTTCAAATTACACCAGAGTTACCGACCGCTACCGCGTTTTATTCGGGAATTTAATCCCGTGGCGCAAAAAATCCGGTTGGGTCTGAATGCAGACCTCTAGTTTGTGTATTAAAAGCTATATAAAAACCTGATTTTTACCACAGTGGTCTTTAAGAAATCAGAAACTAAAAGCATAACAAAAGAAAACAAGTTTGTCAGAACTGAAGCTGTTAAAATAAATACATCAAATGGAACAGTTCACTCAAAACGAAAGGTCATTATTTTAGTCACCCTCATTTAGAAACCAATTTAAAATTCTTCCTTCTTCCTTCTACAAAAGGTGAATTTTTTGCACTTTTCAATTTCATATAGGGACTTTCAAGCTCCAAAGGGCAAAGGGCAACGTTTTAATGATTCTGTTGACAAAATTGACAAATTCAGTCCTCGAGTTCAATTCACTGACTCAATTAATGCAGCAGTTAACTGTCCATTGGACTCAAATGATTTTTTTTACACAAGCAATTTTATGACTCCAGAAGACTGGGAATATAATGCACCAGTCATATGGACTACATGGACTACACTTTTATAGTGCTGTTGTGGTCTTTTTGAAGCTTGAAAGTTTCAGCCCTTGTTCAGTGTATTCAGTGTATCTATTTAAAATGTGATTTAAAATCACATTTTAAAATTTAAATATCAAAAGTTCTATTTCAAGAGTTTGATGGAATGTCTTTCACCTTTTCTCTTGTAGCGTTGTTGCAGTGTGACCCTCCTATGTACCAGGTGGATCTGACCACTGTGGAAAGCAACATTTTGAGGTTCCGTCTGCGGGATGCCCACATGAGCCCGGCGGAGTTCTGTGAGCGGATGGCAGGCGTAGATGGAGAAGAGGTGAAGGCTCTGGGCCAGGGGGTCCAGGTTCTGATGTTCCCACACGTTGGGGGAACAGTCAGGGCTGTGTGGCATCTGGGCATCAGCGAGGAAGACACTCAGCTGGCTATACAGAAGGCTCATTTTGTGGCCCAACAGCACAAGCTCAAGTCTATCAGGGCAGCATGAGAAGAGCCCTTGACCAATCAGAGATGTCTCTACACTCAGGGACCATTTAATATGGAAGCATATAGGTAGCGAAATTCAAGTTAAAATGCAATATGCAAAATGGCAATGCAATATTCAAAATGGCATTGTATTTCTGAAATTTAGGTTGTACAGAAATAGCCTAGCTATTTTTATTCTCTTGTCAAAATACTAAATTCATTTAACATTTTGCTGTACACAGTAGGAAAATTGTCGCAGAGAAAAATAAATAAATAAATAGGCTACGACATCTGTCATTTAAAATTATAGGCTAAGCAAAATATAAACAAAACCGAGTTGACCGTCCTTCAAGGACAGCGCATCCACACTTTGCTCCATCCTTATTCTGCTTTGTCACTCATCGACAACCTGCCTGTGCTGTCTGAGGGCCGTATATTTACCACAGGTACAGCCTGCTCTGAGCATCGTTATACACATGCTGCGCACAGACCACGCAAATAAAACGCGTGACGTTAAAGCATGCGTGCAGCGTGTGCATAACAGTCCTGAGCGCAAGCTGTACCCTACTGGTGGTGGTCAGTAAGAATAAAGCGCAGATATGCTATTCTAAATGGACATCGAGAAAGGGATATTATATTGTTAGACCGCCCGCTCCCGTTCAAATTACACCAGAGTTACCGACCGCTACCGCGTTTTATTCGGGAATTTAATCCCGTGGCGCAAAAAATCCGGTTGGGTCTGAATGCAGACCTCTAGTTTGTGTATTAAAAGCTATATAAAAACCTGATTTTTACCACAGTGGTCTTTAAGAAATCAGAAACTAAAAGCATAACAAAAGAAAACAAGTTTGTCAGAACTGAAGCTGTTAAAATAAATACATCAAATGGAACAGTTCACTCAAAACGAAAGGTCATTATTTTAGTCACCCTCATTTAGAAACCAATTTAAAATTCTTCCTTCTAGGGTAAACAAAAGGTGAATTTTTTGCACTTTTCAATTTCATATAGGGACTTTCAAGCTCCAAAGGGCAAAAAAGATCGTTTTAATGATTCTGTTGACAAAATTGACAAATTCAGTCCTCGAGTTCAATTCACTGACTCAATGAATGCAGCAGTTAACTGTCCATTGGACTCAAATGATTTTTTTTACACAAGCAATTTTATGACTCCAGAAGACTGGGAATATAATGCACCAGTCATATGGACTACACTTGTGATACTTTTATAGTGCTGTTGTGGTCTTTTTGAAGCTTGAAAGTTTCAGCCCTTGTTCAGTGTATCGAAAATAACTATTTAAAATGTGATTTAAAATCACATTTTAAAATTTAAATATCAAAAGTTCTATTTCAAGAGTTTGATGGAATGTCTTTCACCTTTTCTCTTGTAGCGTTGTTGCAGTGTGACCCTCCTATGTACCAGGTGGATCTGACCACTGTGGAAAGCAACATTTTGAGGTTCCGTCTGCGGGATGCCCACATGAGCCCGGCGGAGTTCTGTGAGCGGATGGCAGGCGTAGATGAAGAAGAGGTGAAGGCTCTGGGCCAGGGGGTCCAGGTTCTGATGTTCCCACACGTTGGGGGAACAGTCAGGGCTGTGTGGCATCTGGGCATCAGCGAGGAAGACACTCAGCTGGCTATACAGAAGGCTCATTTTGTGGCCCAACAGCACAAGCTCAAGTCTATCAGGGCAGCATGAGAAGAGCCCTTGACCAATCAGAGATGTCTCTACACTCAGGGACCATTTAATATGGAAGCATATAGGTAGCGAAATTCAAGTTAAAATGCAATATGCAAAATGGCAATGCAATATTCAAAATGGCATTGTATTTCTGTATTTAAATTTACATTTTCCATTACCCATACGTGCAAAGTTTGGTGCAAAAGTAAAATGAAAATTAAATTATATAATTTACATTTGCCATTTCCAACAGTAGTCTTAATATGTAAATTGAATGCAAATTTTAACACTTTATAAGTTGCAAAATTAAAATGAAAATGTACAACACAAATTGATTTGATATGTGTAACATGTCCAAGCAGAAATGGTAGCATAATGATCATTTAAATGCTATTTGTCCTAAATGCATTTAGACTAACAGTTAGAACACTTAGGATTGCATTTTCATCATGACACCGTGGGATATTTGTAGCAAAATTCAATTTGAAAATGCATTCCGAGCTGACCACGCCACCCTCCGTCAATCATTGCTTCAAGGCAGGGATTGGCTAAAGCGTTCAAATTTGCATGCAATTTACATATTAAGACTACTGTTGGAAATGGCAAATATAAATTATATCATTTAATTTTCATTTTCCTTTTGCACCAAACTTTGCACGTATGGGTAATGGAAAATGTAAATTTAAATACAGAAATACATTGCCATTTTGAATATTGCGTTGCCATTTTGCATATTGCATTTTAAATTGAATTTCGCTACCTATATGCTTCCATAATTTAAAAGCTGTAAAACTGTACAATGAAGCATAATTATATTAACTACTTTGCACTCCAGTTGGACAGCCAAGACTTACCCACTTAATTTAGTGGTGAGAGGTATAGTACGCCCATTTGGTGTGTATATACTGTACACACACTAACACACACACACTTAATGGTTACTCACAATAAACTATTGTCACTGACATTTGAATTTTGTTTAAACGCATACTTTAAGCAGCAGAAGCAGTTTGAGGCCTTTTAAAAAGATACATTATGGCTAGTTTTTCATTGAGTTGTTATTGTTTTATCATTGAGTGTTATATAAGAGTTCCCCATAAGGACAAGACATAGTCGTGTAGAGACAGATCGTCATGACAGCAAAGCAGAGATTTACTGCAGTGGATATCAGAAGGGGCTCAGGGCCACTGTCTAGTCTTGGTTGATAACACGGTTAACTTTATTGCTATAGCATGCAGGAGAAATAAATTGACTGAATTTACATCATTTTTAAAATGACATATCCTTAAACTGGTTTTAGGCATATAATTTATTCTGTTGATTATTTGCTGTCTTTACAGTCCAATTAACAGCCCTCGAAATTTACAGTTAAGACACCGTAGACAGTGTCATTGCTGACAAGCCAAGACCTTGTTTTGCCTTCCAAAATAAAAAAAATTAAAAATGACATAACTTGCAGAATCTTGTACACAACATCAATATGAGTGTGGGTGATTCTCACAAAACCTGTCAGGAAAATATCCAGGTTATGTGTCATTCTAAAATTAAAAAGAATTTTAAAAAAATTTAAATTTTCACATTTTGAAAAAAATAAATAATTTTTGCTTAAATGATTTTTTTTTTAGTTTCTAATTTTCATGTCCTCACTGTAATGAAATCCAGATTCTCATTCTTTATTCTCATTACCGTGTACTATATATTACATTAAAAATGTATTTATACATCATGGAAGTAATTGTACTGCCTTGAATGTAAGCAAATTTAAATTTATTTTAAAGTGTTGTTTTGAAAAATAAACAGTAAACAATTACTGTACAGTAAGAGATTTGTCATTAATGGAAATAGTAAAACATTAAGTGCATTATGATTAAGAACTGGGAGTAAAATGTGTGAAATTGTCCCGAAAATAATATTACAATGCAAACTATTGTATGATCATAAATGTAGCCTTAATTTTGAGATGAAATGTAGACATTATTTCAGTGGCTTTGTGAGATTGGCCTGTTCGCATTAATGTGTACTTTCCACCAACAAAGCCATTTTAGGATTTTTGGAGTGTGAAGCCCTGTATAATGTGTACATAAAATCAAACTATAGTACGAAAAATGAGAGAAATAATTAAAAACGTACGTAGTAAAACTGTTGACTGCTGATAATATCATTGGGATTAATTAATAGTATTAATAATTTAATAAAGGAAAATGTGTGCTGCATGTGGTTGCATAAATACCCTAGAATCAATAGTCACATAGACAGACTGCACATAGGAGTAAAACATCTCATGATGGAAAAATACTGCCATGTGCCATTATGGAGTGAGCCACAAGGCCAGGCCAAAGGAACATTAATTTCAGCCTTGTGTGTTCTGCTAACGCTCTGATGGGGCTTGTATGGTTGATGGAGTGGACTAATCAGATACTTATGGAAGAGGCCACAAAAGCAGATAGGCTCCAACAGAAATTCAAAATTAGGGCTTGAGTGCTTGAACTGGATTCAATGTATTTATCTAAAAGATGTAAAAAAAAAAAAAAATAGGGATGGCAACAAAGCACAATTTATAGTTTGTGAATAATTCAACAAAAAAACATCTGTTTGGAATGCAGCATTTGGAAATCTGTGTTTAAATGAATTTGGAAATCTGTATTTAAATGAAATGGCTGTAATTTAAACAAATAATAAGGCAAATTAACAATAATCAATTTCATTTTGGAAAGAAGCATCAAGACCAATATTTAGCTTGAATCAAAAAAGGCAATCTCATTCAGTTTTCTTTCCACACCTGAAAATGAAGTTGAATGATTCTGATTTCTTGCCTCCACCAGAGCTTGTCACCCTCTGAAAGTGTTAAAGCAGACCCCTTACGTCTATGGCTACTGTTATCCTGCACAGAAAAAATTAAACCCACCTGAGCGCTCATTTAAGACAATACATTCTTTATGATTCATAAACTGTGCCAAAAGCACCTTTTGAGTCACTACAGAAAGTCACATTTCTTCTTCTGTTGTTGATTTGCTAAAGCTGTGTCGAAAAGTAAAATAAAATTAAATAAATAAATAAAAAAACGTTGCATACAAAAACCATTACATACAGACAATTCAATTAAGCTTTAATCTTGATGAATATCTAAAGGCATAATGTTCCTGACTGTTGCCGTAAACCAAAATGAGAATGATAAAAATTAGAATAAAGTCAACAATGAGAATAGTCAATCCCTGAAAGCAGTAACAGCTAGACATGACAAACAACAACTACAAATCACATTAAATCACACTCAAACATAAATTTAAATGAGAAGATTGTATTAAAAGCAAAACACTGTTTACGAGAACAGAATTTTAAGAACAA